ATGTGGGATTCCAGTGTTAAAGCTGGGACAGTCCTGGGCAAGCCAGAACCCGTGGTCATCCTATTTACAGGCCACTGTCCTCCCTTTTTTCTCTCCCCCTTCATTGTCAGTGAGAGAGAATCTAGATGGACCCAAGCTCTAAGCTCCTAACTGAGCAGAATCCCATACAGAGGTCCCTGTGTCCTCCAGTCACCCATGACTAGCAGAGAGCTAGGACTCAGTAAGAAAACTCATCCAACCCTAGTCTTTTCTCAGAATGGGAACGTCTGTGATAGGCAAGGTTCAATTATTCCAGCAAATGCAGAAATGCATCTACATCATGATGCCGCAATCCTTGTCTGTTTAGCAAAGAATCAGAAGGGCTGGACCAGCCCCTCACAGAGCTGATACTGTTCTTTCCAGCTCAGCCGCAGGAGTTTCTGAGGACGAGGAGATAGGCCCTGATCAAGCATGGGGCGGAAGCTGGCAAACTCTTCATCCCTGCCCCCTCCACGCTATCCGCTGGACCCAAGCTCTAGAAAAAAACTGTGTTATAAAAATACTCTGGCTTTACTAAGACACATTAAAGAATTAATTATAAAGCAAAGCTGAAGGAGAAAATTAATTTTAGAAACACATGAGGTTACAATTTTTTTTTTTCCTGGAGATGAGGGGAGGAAACAGTTATTTTCGTTTTCATCCTGGGGGCACAAGCTGGGAGCTGTCCAGTCGATAACCTGGCCATCAGAACAAGGTTTGTAATTAAAAGGTCAGTGACCTGGAAAGCCAGGGCCCCACTCCCAGAGCTACTCAGTAATGACGGAGCTATTAAATTAAGACTGTTATGAAATCAATGCTAAAAAAGCTTTCATGGTAACGAGATTCCATTCAAGGACATGCAAACTACCTCATGAAATGGACGTAAATGATAAAAAAGAAAAGTCATAAAAGAGAGTTAAATTGAAATCTGTGTAAGAATACACTCCCCCTTAAAATACTGGAGTGAGAGAAGCCCTTCACCTCTACCCCACTACCAAGGTTGAGACCAGCAGGTTTCTTCCTCAAGTTCATTTCCAGCAAGGAGGCAGTTTTGCTACTGGGGGTTCCGCTTCCAGGAACAGGGGAGAGATAAGATCTTGTTTCACCTTTTAGAATGAGGAAGCATGGTAGTGTGTTTTATTTGATTCGTTCTCCTTCACCCTCCCCCAGCCCTCTTCTATTTATTAGATGAAGGAGAATATAGTCCTTGATTTATACACTTGAGAAGGACAACGGTAAGCCAAAGGGTCAGTCAGCACCACCCAGGCCCCACCATGCAAAATCACATGGGAAAGCCGACAACACTCATCTCTTTTCTAGAACTCTGTCTCGCAGCAGATATATGAGAGAAAGCTAACAAAGAAGTCTACTTCCCCCCATCTCATCTACCCCTTTACCGTCCATTAACAGGCTCCTCTCTCTTACCCACCTTATACTCAGCCTGCCAAGCATGTTTGGAAGCAGACTGCCTCCTACATTTTGTGGTTGGACAAGGAGTCAGATCAACACAAGCTTATTGACGACAGCATCCAAGCCTCTAACTTTCTGGACTGATCCAACTGCTGTTTTTAAGTTACTCTAACCTCCTGGACTGTAGCCTGCTTAAAGCCCCAGATACGATGCCTGCCTGGCAAGAACTGCTTCTATATATAGACCCGTTCCTTCTATGAGGGCTTAAACCCCACACACAGTCCAATTATCTTCATGTGTGGCTGACTCTGCAATTGATGTCATCTGCAGAATCAAGTGGTTGGATGGGAAACAAAAACATTTATTCCAATACTCTGAAGGTGAACAGCTGCTTTTCTTTTGCATCCAAAAAAATTCCCGATAAAAGAAAGAAATGTTGTAAATTACACAAACTGGCAGCACAAGCTTCAAAGAAAATGATAAATGATGCTAATAACTTCATGTTTCTCATTAATGACTCCATGTTCAGACTCTGAAGCATCCAAAAGAGATCTCAAAGAAACAAAAAACAAACAAACAAACAAAACCACAAAAGACCCTTGCAAACCCTACGCCATCAGCTCCCCTGGCCTCCCCAGCCCTGAAATCAGAGGGCACAGGTTAGCCTGTCAGTTACAGAGGTGGGACCAGGCTCCTACTCAGGGCTGCAGCTTCACAATAAAACAAACTCAGCTGATGTTTTTAAAGTAACCCTCATTTTCCACTGAAGTGACATGCACTACAGGGACCTCAATTTCTATATTAAATATTAAATAATATTAAAAGAAAAACAAAATTGGATTTGCCTTTTCGGGAAAGAGATGTTTATTAAAAAAAGAGAAAGTCAAGATTATAATTCAAGACAGGGCTCCACTGCAATTCCCTGAAGTGACATTTGCTAGAAAAGCCAAGACTACAGTAGCTGTGAGCTCCCCAAACCCAGTGCTCCAACCCTCCACTGCAGCGAGTCCTGTGGGAGATAGGACTGGAGGACGCCAGGGCCTTGGTCCCTCCCCTCCAGACACACTCCCCGCCCCCGAAGACCACAGAGCCAACTCCCTTTCCTTCTCAACTACTGTTAGGGACAGGGCACAGGCTCACTGCTTTATAAGATCCCCTCCTCCCTCAGCCCATCGGAGATGGTATCAAGCTTCGTGAACGTGATCTGTGTACACCTGACCCTGAGAACGGGAAATGTGAAAAGTGAAGTTTAAATCCACAGAGGGCTCTTCTTCCCCAGATGCCCATCAAACCTTGGAATTCTCTGCCCAGAAAAGGTCCTGCCAGAACTTACTCTATTGGGATTCAACTCGGAAATAGATAATTACTGACTGAAGCAGTGTTTTAGACGATAATGGAGGTGGGTGATTAAGTCCACGGACTCCAGGTTTAAGTGCGGGGTAAACTCTCTTTAGAAGAAAGGTAGGATGCCTCTCTGGTTTCCTGCTGCCTAGCATTCTAAAAACTCTAAACCACATTTAGGATCGAGAAGGAATTCCACCCGATCTGTACCAACAAATATTCATCTCCTCCAGGTCTTCGCTCACATGTCACCCTCCCCGAGGGACACCTGCTAATCACCCCACTGAGAAGCACAATCCATTCCCACACGGAACCGACTCCTTCCAGCCCACCACCCAGGCACTCCTCTCCATGGAACCTGCCATCTGATAAACTGTGTTTTGTGTTTTCTTTCGCTGTCTGCCTTCCCCTGGTAGAACTCAAGCTCTTAGAGCGCAGGAGTTTAGTCTGTTCTGTTCTCAGCACAGGGCAAACACTCTGAGCTGAATTAATTAATTGATGGTCGCTGGTTTTTAAAGGAGCAACAAATGATAGTTGTACAGGACAATTTTCTACAGTAATTATTAGCCGACCAAGTCAAAAGAAGTATTATTTGGCCCAGAGTTTCTCTCTCTCTCTTTTTTCTCTCCCTCTCCCAGTCAGGGATTTATTAAAATTAAACAGATTAGATGGAGCTCCTGATACTCAAACTGCTCAGCAAAGCCTGCAGTGGGGAAGTGCCAAGCAAACACCAGAGACATTTGTCTCTAAATTGCTCTAAATACCTTCTGCAAATGAAATTCTAACCCAGCTGCGTTTGAGAGAAAATGAGGAATAACTGGTCATTGTCAGTGGAGGAGAAGATCAGGCAGTTATAATATTGCACAATATACTGGGGCGAAGGATCTCTTGGCAACTATGGATTTTGTCTCAGGTTACCCCGGGTAATCAGCACAGCTTTTAGGCTCAGCTTTCCCCAGATTCAATGCTTTGATGAGAGAGCTGAAACCCCTGAGCTTTTATGATTAATTACTCCCCATAGGTACAAATATTTCAAGGAAAAACTCTTTTACAGCATGATGGCTGTGGAGTGGAAGGGCCAGCCAGTGCACTCCGAATTTTAATAATCTCCTCCTGTTGGGGGTGGGGGGAACCGGGATGCCGCCAGTAAGTGCCCCTCATCAACTCAATAACAGACAGGGATCAGCCCTGAGGGTGCCTCTAAACAGCTTCCTGTGAATGAAACGCTTGGGCTGATCCTACCCTAACCCTGCCAGCGCAGCCCTAGGACCCAGTTTTACATGGTCCTCTGAACTGAAGCATCACTTCAGTAGGATACCATGAAGCAGACCTAGGAACCACCACCAAGCCACACCCTCTTCCATTTCAGCCACTAATGACTTAAAGCTCAAAACCCAGAATTTTGAGACCAACATTCCAGTTCCTTAAAAAAAAAGAGTCTTGTTTGGGGGGGTCGGGGGGGGTGGGCAGGGAGAGCAGAGATAACTCACTTCCCCTCACCCATGGTGTTTAAGGGCCTTTAAACAACTTCCTAGCTTTCCAGAAAATTAGACATGCAAAGAATGGAAAGAATGCAAAAAATCAAATTTCTTTGTTTGATACTGTTTTTTTTAAATATATACTTCACAAAAAAAGAAACATATCTTAAATTTCAATAAAACCAAAAGAGATTCTGTCTGCTTCATACAATATTGAATTTGTCAAGATCCATTTAATCCCTGCTTACAGAAATACCATAAAACTAGTAATTTACCACTTCAATCTGTAAATCAGACTGACCCCAGACTTGACCTTAACCTGACCTTGTTTAGTCATCTCATTTCCCTTGTCCTTCATTCATCTCTTTCTTCCTCATTCTTTACTGAAGCAGCTGACTTCATAATCTAAGGCCAATCTTTCTGTAGCCAGGGCCATGATCAGAAGAACAGGTCAGAGGGCAGGAGTCCTCCCCAGTCTTCCCTCCGGGCCTCTTCTGCTGCTGAACAGAGCTGATGCCAGGCTGCCCTGGGCCAAGTTGTTGGCCTTACATCTAGCGCTCAATTATCTGAATCCTAGCATCTCTGCTCTACTGTAAGAAAAGAAGCATGCGTTCCCACTGGGGGCCTCCCTCACCCCCACTCCCACACCAGTGGGGCAGTTATAAGAGATCAGTCATTAATACGGCAGCTTCCATCCACCCTGTCCCAGCCCCTCTCTGTAGGCCACTGTGCACAGGCATGGGGAACCTGTACCTTTCTTCTTAAGGAACGCTCTCCTGGTTGCAAGTGGGCTCTGGCGGACCCGAGAATTCTGCAGAAACTTCACTGCTGTGGCAATCTGGTAGGGGAGATAAAACAAAGAAGAGCAGGAAATGTCAACAGTCTACATTATAAGATTAAGAATCCTACACGTTTATCCCAGGTCCATAGAAATAAGCGCAATACTGGGGTCAAACTAACCAGTTATTTCTCGCATGTAAAATCTGCTTAAATAAAAGACTGTTGGTCGCCTACCATCACTGGCTTCCTATATCTGGTTCTATCAAATCTAATCCCCTCGGCCCAGCTTTTAAGACCTGCAATAATCATTTCCTGTTCTCCCTGTTCAAGCTGATTCTTCACACTCCTCAGCAGGGAGCCCTCCCTGGCCACACTTACCCATGTCGCTCCATTTGTGTCCATGCTACGCCCTTTTTTCTAGAAGGCCTTACCTTCCAGCCTCTACCAATGTAAACACTGCACACGCAGCAGCAGCCCAGGCCTGCTATAGGCTGCTCTAACTCCTCGAAGTCTTCCCTGAACAAGCAAGCCGTCTCTGATCTCCCCATTCTCTTCAATTCTTTGGTGCAGATGGTGAGTGCCATATAGCTGAAGACACAAGTCTACTGTCTTCTAATGTTCAGGCTGCCTCCCAAGCCACACTGCTAGCAACTGAAGGGAAGAGACCAGGCTGCCTCTACAGAGCCAGGCAAGGCAGTGAGCACCCACCGGCTGGGAAGACTTACATAAGTCACCAACACTCACACTGGTCCCTCTTATGCAATGGAGCCGAATTCTAAAGAGCCTTCAAAGGACAAAGTTTAGGGTTTCATGGCTAAGAGCTGACAGACTAAGCGATTATCTACCTACCTCTGGAAATAATATTATTTAAAGAAATCTACCCATCTATGAATGAGCCAAGCAGGGGGTAGAAGGAAAACTACGGGTGGTACTAACCTTCTCGTCACTCAGCGCACACGAAGCGTGCGCCTACACACCGCCTGTCTGCTCTCCACCCCGACACGCACCTGATGGGTGGGAAATGCCAACCTGCCCCACAGGAGAGGGGCCACTGTAAATGACTGGCATTACTGATCTCCTCAGAACCAAAAGGATCATTTAGTTTCCAGGTACAGGTAAAGTCAACAGACCCTGAAATTTGCTCATATGTTGTTGAAAGAAAAAATTTCTAAAGGGCCAGATGTAAGGAAGTTTTCTAAGATTTTTCAAACTAAGGCAGCAATTGAACAGAGATTCAAACAGAAAGTACTATGACTACAAATGGAATACAAGCTACAAATATCTTCTTCATATTTTATATGAACTTCATCATGAGACCAGACACACCTCTCTGGTAACAAAAGATATGAGGATAAATCATAAAGAAAAAAAAAAAATTTCAGGGCAAACCCCTGATGTATTTCCCCTGTGATCCCTCCACGGGAGGCTTGCGTCAGACACTCTACCCCAAGGACGAACTCAGGTATCCCCGACTCCCAAATTTGGGACTGTCAGCGATAAGACACAGGAGCATTCCTTGGGAATGATTATAATCTGTCCAACACTGTGAACACTTTAACTACCATCATGAACTGCAGTGATAACCAATCGGTCCTGGACAAAAGAGAAATCGATGCTCAGGATTCTAGAACCCCAAAACTACATACTCACTCCCAAGCCCCTCAGGTTGCATCCAAATAGAGAAAAATCTGATAAACATCAACAAAATGGTTGCATTCTTATGAAGAAATGGGACAGGGGAAGAAAGAAGAGAGAAAAGGGAAAGGGAATGGAGTGAAAGTGGGAGACGAGGAAGAGGAGAGGGTGATGGATGAGCAGAGGAGATCGAACAGAAAAGAAGGCAAAAAGAAAAGGAAAGCAGCTAAGAGCCAGGGGAAAGTGACGAAGGAGAAAAACAGGAGGAGAGGCTGGCCTTGGAATCGGTGGACAGTTGCACCATCCCAGGCCCCACAGGCTCAAGGCCCATCTGCCCAGATCAGGTGCCTCAGGGTTAATTGCTCTTCACCTGGAGAAAAAATACACCTTCAACATACAAGACAAGGACAGCATTTGTATATATGGTTGGTTCCACACACCCTGGGACGGATCCCAGGTGTCATAGGAACTGTGGCCAGGCAGGTCTTAAGCCAGAAATGCCAACGGCACAGCTCCTGACGTTCACTGGTAGAAGCATAAACCTTTCCTTCATCCTTCCAAAATTTTCCATGACAGAGAAAGATAACAGAATCCCACCACTAAAACGCACAGGTTTCACCTTGCTTTTTTAATACAGTCCTTGGTATATGCATTTCTGGTCAGAGAGCAAAGTTCTGATGGGTTTAATGGTGCACTCAATGCAGTGCTTGGCGCATTCCATCAATTTTTTTTTTTAAAAATTGCATCTCTTATTTCTTTAAATACATTAATCAGCCTGGTGTAGGCAAAACGGATCCATCGGACAATGCAATAAACATGAATTATCATCTATCCAACACGCATAATGGCTTAAAAATACATAATAGCAGGTGTAGTTTAAATGATTAGTTATTACACCTGTGGTGGGTCTGATTCAATTGGGGAAAATCATCTTTAATAGGTTAAAAGGTTTAGATCACCATGCTTTCCTTAAAGTGGCTGCAGAGAGGGAATGATGGAGTGCTCTGTCATTAGTAATTCATTTAAGAAAAACGTGGGGGATATAGCAAAGAACAGCATAAACGGGCGAATCCAATTTAAACATCAGGTAAAGTAGAAAACACCTTTTAAAAAAGCAAGATAAATGAATTTGGAAGGGAGGTGAAATTGACGTATTTATTTTAACGGGAATTTGACAAACTCCCGGCACACTTCAAACTTGCAAAAAATATGAACAATTTCTTTTAAAGTTCCCATTCACTAGTTCCAAGCCATATAAAATAATACTCCCAAACACCTACATAAAGTATATCTGGGGCTTGTTTATGTCCCTCTTGATCTTTGTAGGAAAATGCAGGCGACAGGCAAATCACATATTTAACAGCACCGGTATCACTACGCCAGATGCAAAAATATAAAGCATCCAAACTAACAGCTTCAACATAATGGGCTTTAGAAGAAAGATACCCAGATAAGCAGCTCCATCCATGTAAGCTGGACATATGAGAACACCTCTCCTTTCACGAGCTATTTCTTCAGCTGCTCTTTACTCTTCTCCTCTCTCCTCATAAGGACCTGGCACTTCAACAAGGTGGGAGAGAGCCCGTCCAACATAGAATTTTACAAGCCCTATGATTCACACATAGATGGCAGAAGATTTCTCCAAACCTTTCCCCATAACGCAAAGGTTTGAACACACCTAATAACGGACGCTGTCCTCAGTTTGCATCTTTCATTCAACTATTGTTGGACACTTTTCATTAACTTCACAGAGCAGTTCAAGGGCTCTTCCCTCGGCGGAGGTAGGACAGACACAACACCCTTTTGTAGGATGAAATGACGGGGTGCCTGCAGCCTGTCCTGTATTATCGTCTGATTTTCTAATTAGGAGATGAATGTGACTATTCATGGGTTGTATTTGTGCCCAACTAAATTACATAAATTCAGGCCAAACCTTCCGCCTCAATGTCACCGATGTAAAACGGAGGCGGGAACGTTACTGCGCCTGGTGCAGGAGTGCAGCAAGCCAGGGAGAATCCTGGTGAAAAGCTCCAATGGCCTCATGGAGACCACTTACTGCTGAGTCCCTTGGAGACACGGAACTGGCCCTCCTTTCCCCTTCTCTTGCACCCCGAGCATTCTTAATGAGCACAAGGCAATTACCAGTAGCTGGTCTCATAAAAATAAAGACGACAAACTCAGAAGGAAATAGAAGCAAAGTTTCTGTCACCCCATTCCTGTAACCCGATGCTCTGTGTCTCACCCTCCCTCCCTCAAAAAGTGAAAATAAAACCATCCTGTCACCATCAACTCTGCAATTTTAGGAAAGTCTGATGATTTTACTCTATTCATCACTTAAAGCTAGAGATAAAACCTCGCTGCAAAGAGGAGGAGCAAATTCTTGCGTTGGCAGTGGGTCCACCGGAGTGACTGCCAGCAGCCCAGGGAAAAAGAGGGGACTTCAGATTAAAAAACACCTTTGGATCCAAGATGATTGGCCAATTGAGAGAGATTTGTGTGTGAGAGACCAGGATTTGTAACTGTATAAATCAATGGAATACAGTATACTCAGGGGCTATCTACAATGAACTATGTGCTGTTAAATGCGTTGTGTAGGGTAAGTAATCCCTGGTGAGAAGCAGCGAGGTTCCTGACAGTCCTCACTGAAGCAACGCTTCCTAGATGCTTTCCACTCTCCTACAAAAGATCTGCACACTATCATCTTCAGAACGCACGTGGTATTTTCTGCACAAGTGGGGGAGAACAGAGCTTGCCTAACAATGAACCTGGGGTTGGAGGGAGCCTGAGCACTCTGCACCTGACACGTGAACCTGATGCACTGTCTCCGGTGACACTTACTTGGAATGTCACCAACTGCTGCACTCCTGTGTGCAACACGCACATCTATCTCCTAAAAATGTGAGCATTCATTAGCCGTTTTAAAATATTAAAAATAGTCAGAAATTAACGACACTAACAACCAAAGCCAAGTCCTTTTTCACCCAGAGAAATCACAACTAGAGGGCAAGAGAAAATGACCGACAGGCGGGCTTGAAACCCCATTCCAACACTGCAGTGCCACACGTGCACGGCTCAGAAGATTAAATTGCCTGTGAAAGGTTCCTATGCGCATACTCTAAAGTAGATAGATACCCCGAATCCTGTTAACAAGCGTTAGACCAAAGCCAGCTCGAGGTTTTACAAGAAGTGACTGGGAAAGCCGGGCAGTGCCTAGAATGAGAGAACCCTCTTCAAATGGAAACACTGCATTTTAGTAAGAAATCAGTACTCTGTCAGGAGTTCCTTGACAAATATGGTCATCGGTGGCACAAGGAAATAGTTGCAAAGCAGCTGTTAATCAGAGGAACACATCATGGAACGCTGATGCTAGCACTCGTGAAAAAATGCAACGGGCTAATTATGAAGCCATATATCTCACTAAAG